CTCTTCGTTGTAAAATTCCTCACAATGGCTCGAGTTTTTACGTATAAACAGATTAATAGGTCAATACGAAATATGACGAAGCAAATAGGGGCATTTTGCTAAATATCGTTGCGAATAAAAGCGCTAGAAAGGCTCTGATTGAAGCAGATTACGAATAGCATTACACCATGAGTTATCATATCGAGGTAAAAAAGTAAAGCTATCCTGTGCTTAACTAATTAAGCACTAGGTCGTGAAGGCATATGGGGGAGTGAATGTATAGATACATATTTTCTTGACCTCGGCACTAGTTGGAGGTTAGAAATCAGCTTCACGCCCCGGTCGCTTTACCACCGGGGGTGAGCCCCAGAGCCGGTCCGAATGATGTGGAGAAAAGAAAATTCTTGACACTACCGGAACTCGAACTCCGACTCCTCGGTCGTTCGGCACTTAGCCAGTCGCTATACCGACTGAGCTATCCGGGCCCACTATCAAATCGAGACTTTTCGGAAACACTGATTACGTATAATAAGAGTAAAGCTATCCCTGTAGCAGGTCTTCACGGCTCCTACATTTTGTAGGCGGTGAAGATGTCAGTCTTACGAGCAGACCGCTCTTTACCCCCAGGAAGATCCCTGGTACTCATTTCTGTTAGAGGCTGAGTCGACACCAGGACCATAGTGCGGCTGGAAGGATTAGGTCAGTCACAAAAGATATTAGTAGAATAACTAATCAATATCTTAAAAATCCCTCGCTATGTCATAAACCTGAAAACCTCCATTAATGCGACATTTGAACAAAATCTAAACATTTCGAAACCATCGACACCAGAGTCAAATTCGGTTCACAGTGCATCATGAAACCCTTCCGGGGACCTCCACATCTACACACACCCTTCAACACCTCCACTAAATAAAATTCCAAATAAGGCACTCCGTCCAGTATCTGCAAGATGATCCAGAATATTATTACAGAATTTGCTACTGTGTGGAGATTATTCAGGTTAGGTTTTCCCTTGCGAAACTTACATGCCGGATATATGGACCTAATTCAAATGCTCAGGAAGAAGCGGGAAGACACAGAAACTTGAATATATAGACCAGTTTACAATTTCCCCATATCGCAAGGGGCCAGTTCGGCCTTATCCTTGAGTCGGAAGCAGAAAAATATGACGAGAGTTCGGCTTTCAAACTAGGAGTCAGGTTGGAATTTCGGTCGGAATACTGACTGCCTTAAAGTTTGACCTACTTCTCTGTCTCATGACACGACGCAACCACGTCCTTCCCAGTAATTCATTGCTTATCATTCATAATCATCGGTCCATCTACTATATACCACATCTGTGATTGAAAAGGGTTTATTAAGTAATCCATGAGTGAATCAGTTCTGGAATTTGGTTTATTCTTTTGGAAACCAATAAAAACTCAGAATGATACTATGGTGTATAGGCCCGTTGCTAAGCGGTGACTCTGTAACAGCGACGCTTCTGGGCAAAAGCTTGATAACACGTTCCCGCTGCAGTGAGTACGCATGCAACAATAAAGTTACTGTTGGAAAAGGGGTGTGTCTATGTGGTCCGTGCTGAGATGTTAGTCACTTGCCAATATACAGTCAGTTCTGCACGGCAGGCTGTGAAGATAGAAACTGAGCATGTGATGCTGAAGAATATTGACTGCTAGAAGCAGTTGCCAGGGGACGGCTGGTGAAGACATGGGAGGCTCGAAAGGACTTAGCAGGTCCTGTGGTGATTAGGGAATTGTGGAGATCAGCGGTGGCGGTGTAATTGCCTGTAGTTGCCAGTCATGTGTATAAGTGTTCAATAAATTTATTCACCAATCAAAACCCCGGCTATAGTCACCCGTACACATGACAAACCTTGTCTCTAATAGCACTGGAAATGACGTGGCTGCGGTTGTGTTATTTCTCACCGTTTATGCACTGTTGAAGACAAAAGCTTGGCATCACTCAGAATCACTGGGTTCTTTACTTTGTCTATCGTCCGGTATTCTATAAATTAGAAAAAACGTCTCGGAAACTGGATCTTCAGAGCCCTATAGAATCTACTTGGCATTACTGTACACAAAGTCCAGCGTGTTAGTGTGTAGGAAAATTACTATTAACGGTTTACAAAATTCAGCGTGTTAGTGTGTAGGAAAACCACTATCAACTTTTCACAAAGTTTAGCGTGTTAGTGTGTAGAAAAATTACTATCAACTGTTCACAAAGTTCAGAGTGTCAGTGTGTCGGAAAATCACTATCAGCTGTTCACAAAGTTCAGCTTGTTAGTGTGTAGGAAAACGGCTATACAATGTTCACAAAGTTCAGAGTTTAAAATTTACCCGTTGATGCATTTCGCTCCTTGTATAGACAGTGTCACGTAACTTCGAACGAGGCACCGCATTCCTAGTCAAATCCCGCGCATAGCTTGTGGTGGGAGGAGTTTCTTAAAACTCGTTCTTCCACTTTCACTGACCCCTCGTGTTTCATTGAACTACCATATTCTCTTTTTGAAGAACATATTACAATAATACAAATATATTGTCACTCGTCATGCAGAGAAAAATATGTTTAATATATATTACTAATTTATGCTTTGAAAATTAAAATATAATAGTCATATGCAATGAAGAAAAGAATGTTGCCATTCGCATTGGAAGTACATGTAGAATTAACTAGTGTGTCCATGTTAGAAATGTAGTCTATATCGTGAAAATTAAAACTGGTCATACCTCGTATCTCTTATTTACTCATCATCATTATCTGACGTTTCACTTTCCTCATTATCTGATGTGATGATTATATTGTCTGTCCTGGTGCTGATATCCATTTCCTTTGCGAAGTACTGGTCCTCTCGATTGCAATATGCTGTCCAGTCTTCGGCGGAAATGGAATTAAATTTCTCCTCTGCTAGACGCATTGCAGCGTCCAACTTAAATGTCACGTTCCTTTGGCCCACCCAATTTTTAACGGTGCCCCACACCATCTCAGTAGGGTTAAGGTCTGTATGATAAGGTGGGAGACGTATCACAGAGTGTCCAGCAGCAGCACAAATAGCGTCTAGTCTATATTCTTCATTATCTGACTTGTGTTCTTTTATTTTTTCGTACAGGTCTGGTTTCAGTGCTGAAGCCGGACACGAAATGTTCCGTTCTGCCAACCACTGTTTCATTTCACCTACTTTGGTATTTGAAGTTGGCGCTCTGTTTACTTCAATATTATGGTAACTTGCATTGTCAGTTACGATCACCGCTCTTGGAGGCAAGTCTGGAAATATTTTTTCCTGGATTCACTTCTCAGAGTTTCCAGAATTCATCTCGTGGTGGTAGTCTCCTGTTTTTCTGCCTGACTTAAACATAAGCAAAGCTTTCTCCACAAAACCTTTCTTACCACCACCATATACAATAATTGCTCGTGGACCTTTGGCAACAGGAGAGGAGAGTGTTATGTTTAGAGAGTCATCCCAGGAGTATGATGCAAGTACGTTTCATCGACATACACAATAGGCCGACCTTCTCTGCGATATTGCCTGATTATCCTCAGATAATGAAGGTATTTAGAACGGGTGTTATGCCTTTCAATCAATGTTTTTCTATTATCCCTCGTCCTTCTCCAACGACAATCAAGCCGGCGAACAATTATCTTGCAACTAGGAAGACTTCCTTCAAATTTTAGGACTCGTACGATTTTTTTTGTGAAGTTTGGGCATGGTATCTCTTTCGCCCTCTGTTTTATGAAAGTCGTAGATCATTCTTCTGATGCCGTCTTCTATAAACTGATCACTTTCAATTGACCTAATCCTTCCGGCCGCACTAGACCCTGGGGTTTTCTCAGCCTCTAACAGAAATGAGTACCACAAATTAATTAAATGATTTTCCTGGGGAGTGAAGCGTGGCCGGCGTGTAAGGCTGACAACCTTACCGCCATCTCTGAGCCCACTGTCAAGGTAATGTGGGACCCTTAACGTCTCACAACCCTATGGGCCTTCATTGCCTGTTACAGGGATAGCTTTACTTTACTTTTACCTTAGACACATATTTTACATGTTAATAACTTCTAACCTAACGGAATCCTTGGTAATAGAAACAGAAATTGCTAATCACTAGCACCAACTGAAGATCCAGGCTGTTGCATCCATGTTGCAACAGAAATGTATGTTTTAATATCATCTTCCCATTTCCTTTCTACATTTCAAGTGACTGCTTTGTATAATAAATTGTAATGATTATCTTTCAAGTATTTGCCGTATATATTCTTCCCTCAAAGGAAGACTTCCATGTTTCTCAACCATACAAACCTGGTAAAATTGCTTTATAAGTGTTAATACTAGGCCTAGTTACTTGGAAAGTAGACTATATAATAAGAGTTTTTGAACCAAACAATAATTTATGTTTTTTCCTATTATGAGAAAAGGTTTCACAACAGTATAATGAGCCTGGTATTTTTTTTTATTGCTAGTGGGGAGGGACTAAGTCCCTTGTACTGCAGCCACTTCTGGCCTATTGTACCAGACTGGTAAAATTACTTCTTGTATATCTTAGGCTTTGTCCTGTGTTGAGGCGAGTTAGAATACCTCTACCGTAGCCCTGCAAGTCGTGCAAGGTGAAGAAAAGGGAACACAGCACCTGGGGGTATAACTGGACCAACCTGTTACTGGGGGACATAAATACATAGACCTGGTCCTTCAGCTTATGGTTTGGATGCAAGGCTTATGACCTTGCTTTGTAAAAAAAAATTACTGTCGCAAAATCTAAAGCAGTGAAAACTGGATGGTCCAATTCACAACAGAATAGACAAGTCTGGTAGAATCTTCTACGGAAGGCAGTGGCTCAAAAACGGCTGATGATGATTGATGATGATGATGTCTTAGCCTTTAGTTTTCTAGAACATGGACAAGATGCTACCAATTATAGATCTTCAAAATGGCAACAATTTTGTGAAATTTTCTCTCAAATTCATGGAACTAGTTTTTGTTTGTCCTGTTGCTCCCAACTTGGATGACTCTCCCTTTCTTTTTGTTGCAGATATCCATTTTGCTGGCACAATGGGCTCCAGGATGTGCAATAAGCAAGATTTTCTACAAAGTAGCAGATGGCCTGATAATGTTGCATTTCATTTTAGACCCTCTATTCTACGTGCTGCTGCGCTGCCAGCGGCGAACTTGCTTTCCTAACATGCTAAAACTGGTATTTCACACATGCCAGTCACATCCAAGTGATCATGGCAGTCATCCAACCTCTCTAGCCATGACTGATCATGAACATTGCCCTAGCCTTAACCCGACAGGAGAGCCCTCATGTGAGCTGGCCACAGCAGCAGCTGTGTGACTACAATATTTACAAAAATTATTCTATCTTCAAAATTAAAAAAAAAAAATAGCCATTTAAGGTTACAGAAGGCAAGCAAAGAGTAGATTTACAAATTTTATGTTCAATTGTAATGTCATTATATGATCAATTGCATGCCACTGTAAACACAGTAAGTTCTCACAGCTGTGTTTGCATAACAGGATCAAGTGTGAGAAATCCTCTATGAACCAGGCAATCCGGACATAAAGAGTCCTACTTACATGCCTTTCTTACCATAAAAGCTTATTATTTAAACAAATTTACCATCTGTTCCTTTCATTGAGTAACTTTACAAACAAGAATAACTATATATGGTTTTAGTCGAAGTTGGTTTGGCCTCTGCACACTATCCTAATTCATGTTAATTGTAGTTTCCAATTTATTTATTCATTCATTCATATACTGATTTTCTAGTGACAAAAATTATATATATATAGAAATATTGCACGAAACTGAAAAAGAAGAATTGTGGGAAGAAAGAAGAGACTGAAGACTTTGTGTTCATCAACTCATATAAAATGGAAATAGTGCTAGAAGCAAAGAGAGATGTGTGCATGTGAGGTGGGCACAAGCAAGGGTGACCAACTTTCGGTCATGAATTTAAGGGAGATTTAGTCACGACAAATTTTGCGCATTTTTAGAGGCGCGGCGTCAGTCCAGCAAACGTTCATGGAATGGATAATATTAAACAAAACAATTAATTTACATTGTATATAACATACAGGTCACAATATAGAATAAATTTTACAAATTTGCATGTTTCTTAGTCCTAACCTATGTGTATTTGTCCACTGATGCTGCAGAACTAAGCATTTTTTTATCTTTTTGTGCAAATTTAAAAAACTCTTTACAACTATAGTCATAATTAATTGCTACCATTAGCTCTGACTTAATTAGTTCTAAGCTGCTTTGATTTCTCTGATCAGTCCATTTATTGGTGGTCAACAGTGAAAAAATTCTTTCAGTATGGGCATTTGAGCCTGCATCCTGCCTGATGTTAGGGAAAGCCAACGAGTGGGGACATGATGACCAATCTCCAACCACTAGGCATCAACAAGATCAAAGAATGACTTCAACTCTTCTCTTCTTTTTGCTGATACCAAAAAGTGCCCATATATTTTTAAGATGATCATTTCAATATCCACAACTAATCCATCAGATGCATGTTTTGTGGCATTATGCAATATATATTTCAGCAGTTTGCTTTAAGCACATTTTTGTTATCTTCTTGTAGTAGTTTGAACATAGAATTATGCTTCCCATAATTCACATTTGCATTATCTGCACAATATGAAGTTATATTTTTTATATCTAACTTGTGCATATCAAGTGAAGACTTGATCAAATTATGGGTAGCATTAGCTTTTTCATCAGCTTGTTCAATGAAGTCCAAGAGCCCATTTTTAACACCACTAAGAGGGTCAAAATACCTTACAACCAGCAGGAATATCTTTCTGTTTTTGTGGTTGGAGGTATCAGTTGCAATAGAGAAAAAGTTGCTTGATTTTGCTGGATCCTTCAACACATCGATAAGTCTTGCACACTTCTTGGCGCTAGAGTATTTTTCACAATAGCCTCTGCCTTTGTTCAGCCACAGGTCATCTTCTTAGCCAATTTAGAGTCATGGAAAATATCCTTCAATAACTTATTTGCGCAATCCATACTTCTGTAGCCGATGTTGTGTTTTACAGTATGGAAAACCAATGCTAGCTCACCTGCAACGTTTTTGAAGTCTTTGCTGCTGTTCCTGAAAAAAGAGGTGTAAATTTGAAGAGGTCTTCACGTCCCTTTCCTTTCGTTTATGCCCTTCTGTGCAAGAATATTGTCTGCAGTCGGTAATACCCCCTGTGAGCGATGCTGAACTCATGTTTACAAAGTATACAATAAGCTCTATAAGCGCTGGAGGACACGGACTTTAACCATAAATATTGTTCTTCCCATTTTCTCAAGTAAACACACAAGTATTTAGTTTTCTTCTTAGGTGGAGTTTTTACATTGTTGCTTTCACTTTCACTGTCAGTACTCATTATGAAAATGGATTCAACTTGGTAATTATTTAAAAGCACGAGGATGAACAGCCCACGACACAAGAACAGAAAATATTACAATCCGGACACGGATATTCCGCTATCGATTAGTATAGGTAATTTTTCGATATTTATCGATGAGAACCTCTAAGTCTCAACTGTCGATAATAATGACAGTTTATATCGGAATGTATTTGGCGGGAATAATATATAATTTAAATTTTGCCATCTTGATTGTTAATGAAATATACGGGAGAAATAGAAGGTCAATACGGGAGCCGGGAGGATCCAAAAAAATTAGCTCTAATACGAGAGATCCCGGGAAATACGGGAGAGTTGGTCACCCTAGCGCAAGCCATAAACTCTAATCATATGTACACTTTTAAACCTAAAATTAAACTTGTACACATGTCACTATTATCTGAGCAGAATATTAATCCTCCTGCTTGGCAGGATCCCAAGAATGTATCCATCATGCTAACTAACTGCATTGAGCAGATTCCTTCTAAAGAACCTTATGGTTGGTCAGCTTGCTAAATTATATGGAACCCAGATGTTTAATGGACATATTTGGAAGATCCTGTCCTAATTCAGTTTAAGCTACTGCACACATCATTTTTCCCTAAGTTCTGTTTTAATATTGTAACGTGCTAAGGTTACTGAAGACGCCGTTCGGATTGTTAATTGGTTTATTTAACAACCTACAAGTATCGGCTACAATTGATTATAACACTGTTGCGGGGTTTCACACTTTATAACCCTATTTGCAATAATCCGTTCACTCTGCGAGGTTTCACACTTTATAACCCTATTCGCAACAATCTGTTCACACTGTTCTCAGTAGTCTACGTGTATTCACATTACAGGAGCTATGTGAGTGTCCCTGTATCACACACTCCCAATTACACAATTACACACCTGTCCGGTTCTTCTTTCCACGACTGCTGCTATACTCCAACTGTGTCACTCCTGATCACACACTAACTCCTGATCACACACTAACTTCCAACTGCTGACTTGAGAACTCTCTTTGGTTGCTGATACACTTTAACTGACTTCGGTGGCTGTGCAGTTTCCTTATAAACCCTCGGCCAGACAACGGGAAAACAGTTATGTATTAGGAACCACTGTTGTCTGACGCCGTGTTTGCCTGTTACATAATAGGTACCGCTGTCATTACCATCATCTCTAGCAACCACTGTTTACCCGCTTTGCATAGCAACCAGCGTGCTGGGACTTATCTGACTTCGGCTTCGCTCAGCACATCATGGCTGGCGGGGAGGGAGGGGCATATCCATAGCGCAACACGTCACAATATTATAGAGTGCCATTGCAGCGAAAACTGAAAAAATTAACATCTTTCAATTCTTGGGCTCAGACACATCATTCAAGTGACGTTTAGTATGAAATTCTTATGTGGTACACCACAGGCTTATAAAGGAAATTGTGTTTCTGCATTAAGATGCCATAACTGTCAAATTTCACATAATAAAACTGCAGTACACTACTCAGGTGTAACAAAACTTAAAAAAAACTAAGCTATCTTAAACCAAATCAAATTAAATATGCATCACACCATAAATCTAGTATATACACATTTCACTACTATAGTTACTACAAATCCAAAAAGTTTAGTACTGATTTAAATTACAGATTCCAATGCATTACATGGCCACCCATACAGAACACAACACAGAAGTCACACATACAGTACATGCTTTCACTGTGATCCAAACCCACTCCTCTGTTTTAAGTGGTCAAGAACATATGCAACTTAGACCATGCAGCAACCCTAATTGGCTCCATACTTCAGTATGAAGACAAACACCACTTAATCATGGTCCAAACATAACTGGATAGCATAATAATTAAATGACATGCTATTATAACTACAGTCATCTGGGATATGAGGCTGTGTAGTTTGGCAGATAGGTATCAATGTTTTGAAAGAACCTGCTGTCTCATCTTCAGGTGAGAACCTCAGCTCCCAAGACTGTTTTTTTTTAAACTAGTGGGGTGGGCCTAAGTCCCTTGTACTGCGGTCACTTCTGGCCTATTTTTACAGCCCCAAATGATAGGTGAGGGTGATTGTGGAGCAATTGGTGGAATGAAGATTGGCAGGGGAAGCCGAAGTACTCAGAGAAAACCTGCCCCAGCGCCACTTTGTCCACTATAAATCCCACTTGACCAGAGCCAGGATTGAACCCGGGTTGCCGTGATGGGAAGCCAGCAACTAACTGCTTGAGCTATGGTGCAGCCTCTCTCCAAGTCTTTATACAAGTTTATTCTCACAAACTAGCTGCAATTTCTTCCATAGTAGATGCCAACTATGATGCAGCAGTAATATTTGTTCTCCTCCCATGTGTTACACTTGGTAAGATTAATGATTTCTGTAATCTTCTTCTCTATGTCATTCATATTTTTTGTTAGGGTCACTCGAATACTTTATCTTTGACTGTCCTCTTACACAAGAGTCTTGTTGTCTAACAGTGCAAGCAAAGAGGCCACATATTCAGTCTAACACAATACATGCATCATTGGAAACTTTGGAATTCTCTGTGTAGGAAATCACACCCACTAGAATTGTAACATGTTAATAATATTTATGATTCCATGAATTAAATATGATGACATGCAATGAAGTTAAAAAGCTCCGCATGTATGCCTGCAAATATGGTTCAGGATAGACACCAGTGGCTAACATGTTACTGACTTTCAGGTTCCATAAAATGCATAAGTTTATTCAGCAGGTGAGTGGCTATTAGCTTCTGAAGAATTTACTGGTAGTTACTATAACCAAATTATAACACTAAAAGCTGGATCACAGTCAACACATAATGGTAACCAAGAAAGCTTTGGGTATCTTATTGTATTACAGTGAAGTAAGTAATTATACATAATGATATTGCCTTGAAAGTTGTTACCATATTTTGAGTTCACTCTGTACAAAGGCAATGTTTACAATTCTTTTACTGTTCAGTATTTATCATGGACGTTGCACTTTCAGCAAATAAACAGGTGAGCCATGTCCCCCCTTCTATATGGGTAAGGGACAGGCTCATAAGAAACGACTTTCTTGTTGGCGTGGTGCATTATGCTTCCCTAAGATTGGGTAAGGGATCTCGGGAGAGGAAAACTCAGGTCAGTACGACAGGCCAAGCTGGGCGGATCACCTAGGCAGGAGATAGTATGGAACATGTGGCAACACAGTGTACGTATACTCAAACAGTTTCCTAAAACATGGAAATATATTGATAACCTGAGTATAAAAATAAAACATGTCTGAGGGGCAGTTACTGGTTATTACATACAATGGCTGACTGAAACAGAATTACACTGCGCCTGGCGGCACACCAAATCAACTGTGTCATGCCTCATGGCGTATCCAAAAACATCCAGTACACATGTACTCAATCAACTTTTCCTAACACAAGTACATTGATAACCTGAGTAAACAGGTGAACCACGCCTGAAGGGCAATTACTGGTTATTACAACCTCTATCATCATCATCATCATCAGTAATCTGTCAAGACAGCAGGTCCACAGTCTCTTCCAAAACAATTCCTCCACTTAATGCGATCTAGAGCTTTGTCCTTCAAATGACAGTATCCTCTTCTGTCCCCAAGGTCATCCAGCATCTTCTTACATCTTCTTCCTCATCTTCTTGTCACTTCTATCTGCCCATCTATCTTTCCTTCAGTAACTTCTTTTAGAAGGCAGTTTCTGCGTAAAAAATGACCCATCCAATTAGCCTTCCGTTTTCTTATTTCGTGTAGGATATTCCTCTGCTCACTGACTCTAATTAACACTTCTTCATTTCTCACGTAATCGGTCCAACTGATCTTCTCCATCCTTCTCCAAATCCACATTTCGAAACTTTCCAGATGTTTCTGATCTACTCCCCTAAGTGTCCATGTTTCAGCCTCATACAGAGCTATGCTCCAAATGTAGCATTTCACTAGTTTCTTCCTCAAATTTAAGTCCAATTTGCTGGTAAAAAGATTCTTCTTCTTGCTAAATGCAGCTTTTTCCATGGCAATCCTGGATTTAATTTCACTAGTACACCTTCCATCATCTGTTAACAAGCTACCCAAATATTTAAAACAATTCACATTCTCCAGTTGTTTTTGGTCTATCTTTATTGTGACTGGGGTTGGTTGTCTCGAAATTTTCATTACTTTTGTTTTTTCCACATTCATTTCCATGCCATAGCACCTTCCAATTTTAATTAGTCTATCAATCATGCCCTGTAGCACAGTTTCTTCCTTAGCCATTAACACAAGGTCATCTGCATATTTGCATATTTTATAGTTTGACAACCTGTAACCAAAACCAAAATTTCACCGCACCTCGCGGAGCAGCAAATCAACTAAACCACGCCACACAGCCTATACAACCAAAGCCAATATGCCTTACGGCGTGCACAAATCCAGTAAGTCACTTATTTGCAGTTTAGCCCAAGAAAACTCAAATATTTACCTCATGAACCAGCCAGCCCCAACTAGCTCATGAGGGCTGCTTCTCCCCCCTCGATCCGCGCTACGTGCCGAAACAAAATTTCAGTATCATCAACTTAATTGTTCCAAAACCAAATTTAGTCATAGTGATATTACCAGACGAAGATGTAAGAGAAGAAGAGAACAATCGCTTATTTTGACTTACCACAAAGGTTCGCAATCACGCTACGGAGGGGGGGGGGACACGTGATTCTGAAGTCAGCCAAGGACATCAGCGGGGAAGAAAGGACCGGCTCGCATCCTGGTGTCCGGAGAGGCCACTCCAAGGAACTTAACGGAGAAGAACCATTGCACGGTTCGCAGGTAGCACCTACTCAGAAGGGAAGATGAACATAGACTATATACAACATAGCCCTACTACCAACTTTAGTGCTGCAGTTATGCAGACTCTTTTGAAATAATTATATACCACAAAAGATACATCTTCCACAAAGCAGAATATGCTTAAAATTGAATATTTTGCATGCATGTTCCATTTCCTAATATATTCCTGCAACACAGAAGACAGTGTAACAGAAGTGATTCATTTGAAACTCAATTCCAAGATCTTTTCACAGAACCTGAAGAAAATGTAAGTATATTCTGGTTTAAAGGGAACAGTTCTCACACAGATTCACTTACAATAACTATTCCAATTACAGATCTCATAGAAATGGAATAATTACAATTTTTACTTCAGCTAGAAGATGATTAATGGGCCAGGATAGTGTAATCAGTATAGCAACTGGCTAAGGGCTGGACAACCAAGGGTCACAGTTTGAGTCCTGTAGGGTCAAGAATTTTCTCTTCTCCACATCATTCAGACCGGTTCTGGGGCCCACCCACCCTCCTATCCAATGGCTACTGGGTGCTCTTTCAAAAGGGTAAAGCGGCAGTGGCATGAAGCTAACCACTCACCTCCAACTA